CGAGAGCGGGCCGCCTGCTCTGCCACACGCCCGCGCTACCGTAGGCCCCGAGCTCCACATGGACTTGCCCGATGTCGCTAATCACACAGTCGAGCGGTGGTATGGGCGTTGGTGCGAGGCCAACTCTCCCAACTTACTCCACATTTATCCTCATCGCGCAGCGGGTGAAGGCCCCTACGCTGCCCGTTTCTCACCCGCTATAAGTTTGGTCACTGTCTACGTGCCCGACCAGATTGTTCTGGACCTCCTCCACACGGGGGCCTGGGAACAGCCTGCTCTCATCCCTCAGCGTCTTTTGGAGGATGCAGCGGCTGGCAGCCCCATCCTAATTGACTTCCAGGCCATGATCCTGGTGCGGCCATTTTGCCTTCCGTTGTCCTACCTCTCTAGAATCCTCCGCCTCCTTGAACCATAGCCCCTCAGGCCATGCCGACTCCAGATGCGCAGCACCTGCCACAGTTCGAGCACGGCGACGTCCGCTGCGCACGCACTGAGGCCGTGCCACCGCAGCCTACAGTCGTACAGTGGCTGGTAGTGATCACGGCGGGTCACATTCCGCTCTGGTCTCCACTGCCCATCAATGTAGGACTCCTAATGGAGCAATTCCACGGGCAGGAAACCCGGCTGCCATCTTCAGTGGAGAGACCACGCTTTTTTCACCTCCCCACTCTTCAGGAGACCGATGCACGGTCCATTTTATTCGGCACGGGCATGCCTTTTAGCACCGGCCTTTCGCTGCGGGTCAACATGCGCAGCGGAACCATCCTCATCCCTATCGACTCAGCACCGGGCCAAGCATGCATCAGTCGGCCCATCAGGAGGGTCCTCCTCACCCAGGCGCACGCATAAGCCAGTTAGGTTTCACTCATATATGGCCGTTGGCTTATGGGCTATTTCTTTTCGCTCCTTCCGCACTCCCCCTCCTCTCAGAGCGCGCAGCGCAGCCGTGGTTCCTGCGGGCGGGCGCGCTTCGGCGGCGACTGAGGGGACCACGCCCCCGCAGGAGGCCGCGGCCGAGCTCTTCGGCCTATCAGGCGACACGTACTCGGGCTCGGCATGGCAGGGCCCCCAGTACATTGCCGCCAACAGGGAGTTCAAGAAATGGTGGCCAGCCACGTACCCTGGCGAATGGAAGATGCCAAACGGCATGCTCTACCCGTTCGTGTGGAAGCTCAAGTCGCTCGACGTCATCAACGGCCAGGTCGTCGAAACTTGGGACTGGGAATGGATAGAGGCTCCAGGCCTGGCGACCATCTCAGAGGTTGAGACCATGCTGCTGGAGGCCCGGGCGCGAGCGGCGGCGTCGGCGGCCGCGCGGCAGCCGCGCGGTGCATGAGCGGGCCCTAGAGCGTGCTACCTCCCAGCCGGCGCCATCCCAGGTCGACAAGGGCGACCTCGGCGCAAATAATAGGTGGTGGGCTAGCCTTATACTCTAATCTCTGTTCACCACGGCAGCCCACCACCTAGACAGCCCTAGCCAGCCACACGAGCCAAATGTTTACAGCTGGAGAGCCGTGCTGCTCCAATTTAAGATCGGCTGAGCCGACCTGCAATCCCGTCGCAGCGGGCCCATCAGTTCTTTCATTTAGCCCCATGCCAAAGGCCCGCTGCAAAGTCGTAGTCAGCACCAGTCTCCAGCTTCACACCTCTCTGCCGCACTAGTGCAGCCAACGCGACACTTTTAGCTGGCCCCGCTACCAGAAGAGCGGACAGCTAATGCTCACAGCTCAATTCGCAGACTCGCCACGGCTGAGTCTTCATAGGTGGTGGGCCAGCCTAATACCCTAGTCTCTGCTTATATCGGCAGCCCACCACCTAGATAGCCCTAGCCAGCCACACGTACCGTAATTCACCAGCTGAGGAGCTATGCTGCTCCAAGCTAAGGTCGGCCGAGCTGTCCTATAGTTTCGTCGCAGCGGGCCCTTCAGCTCTTTTCTTCAGCCCCATCCAGAGGGCGGGCCAGCTGCAAGAGCTGTAGCCAGCACCGGTCTCTAGTTTCACACATTCTTGCCGCAGCATTGCGGCCAGGCCAAAGCGACACTTTTGAGCAGCCACGCTACCAGCAGAGCGGTCGGAGCAATGCTCACAGCGCAATTCGCAGACTCGCCACGGCTGAGTCGATACTGCGGCAAGCAAAGTTGCCGCCGCAGCACATCCCACCCGCCGAGTAACTCTCGGCTAATGCTGCCCATCAGAGGTGCGTACCTCTACGGACAGCTACCGCGCCCTAGTGTTGCTTGGCTTGGCAAGATAATCCCTCTCCCTCCCATATGTTCTTCCCTCCCCTCTTACCACGTTTACACCGAGACGCCAAGCACAGCACAGGCGCTCTCTCACCTGCCCCCTTTCCGGTCACATGCGTAACCGATGGGGCTTCCTAGTCTCCTGGCTATTGCGGCTCAAAGATGCCGCCTCAGTACATCCCACCTGCCGAGCAATTCTCGGCTAATGCTGGCCGTCAGAGGGGCGTACCTCTACTGACAGCTATCGCGCCCTAGCGCTGCTTGGCTGGACAAGATAATCCCTCTTCCTCCCTTATGTTCATCCCCCCCCCTCTTACCACGTTTACTCCAAGACGCCCAGCACAGCACAGGCGCTCTCTCACCTGCCCCCTTTTCCGGTCACGTGCGTTACCGATGGGGCTTCCTAGACTCTTGGCGGCAACGCCAGCCTCTCCCTCCTTGTCCGCTCCGCCACGGCCGCCATACAGCGCGGCAAGGCCATTTTGGCCCTCTTCCTGCTCATCCCGCTCATTTCCATGGCTAAGCCATGCTCCCAGGTGGCCGTCCCTGAGGCTAGCTTTGCTGCTCTTCGGTCGTTCAGCGCTGCCCGCATAGGGCAACGCCTAGATGGCGCGCTCAGTGTTTCTCGCACGGCACCGATCCCCTCTCTTCTTATTATTCCCCCTCCGAAGAATCGCTTTTGCCTGCGGACGGACCAGGAGCGGAGAACCTTTGCTGTGCCCGCTAGGCGGGCTCTGTCTGCCGCCTGGCCGACCTCGGCCACCCAGCTCAAGCTACTTGCAACGAGCCAAGTGCAGTCAAAAGTCCCTCGTCTTTCCCCCCCCAATGCATCGGGGGGCGAGACGTCGTCAAGTTGTTGCATTGACGAATCGACGCTCAAATTCAAACGGCGCGCGCGCTCGACATCGAGTCCTCCGCGCGCGCGCTGCATCTCCATGCCATCCACTGGTCTTTTCGTGCTAGCAGTTCTCACGTGCTTGTCTTGCTCTTGTTGCGATTGTCGCGCGCATTCCTGGATTGTTTCGCCGGCGGGCCGCGCAGTTCACGTGCCGTCAGAAGTCAACGGCGCCCTTCGATCGATTCGCGCGCGACCTGCGCGCGACGCGCGAACGACCGGAGCGACGCGCGCGCGACGCGCGCGCAGTGCGCGCGCGCGGCGCGCGCGCGGCGCACCCCGACCCGCGCGCGCGCGCCCCCGTCAGCGCGCGGCGCCCGAGCGATCCGCGCGACGCACGCGCGACGCACGCGCCGCGCGCGCGAAGCAAGCTTGACGCACGCGCGGCGCACGCGCGACGCACGCGCGACGCATGCGCGACGCAGTCTCGACCTTGCCCGCCCTTAGTTTTCCTCCGAGCGGCAATGCGCAGCGGCCGTCGGCCCGCCGTGCTTGCGCCGCTCGCAAGTGGCGGCAGCTCCGTCGTCATTTGCGCCAAGAAGGGCGGTGCTTCGCCCCTCTTCCTTCCCCTCTGCCTTCCTCGTCGCCCCTTCGCCTTCGTCGCTCCTCTTCATTCGTCGACCCTCCTGCCTCGTCTTCATCGCCCCCCCTTCTCCTTTTTTTTCCCCGCCCCCCTCTGCCCCCCCTCCTCCCACCTCCCTCGTCTTCGTTTTTGCCCCCTTGCCATCCCCTGCCCTTCTTCATCTTCGCTTTTCTCTTTCGCCCGCCCCCCCGCGGCCGCGGCGCAGGTCAGCGGAAGGCGCCTCCGCCATCCGTGAAAGGCAGGGCAGGGGGGGCGACGCAATGAGTGGGTTCTTTTGTGGTGGTCATGTTGATGATCATGGTCGCGATCGCGGTTGTTGCCGTGGTCGTGCTGGCGGTGGTCGCGCTGTTGGTGGTGGGCGGGCTGGTTGTGGTCGCGTTGGTGATTCTGCTGGTGTCGGTCGTTGTGGTTGTCGCGAGAAGCGCGGTGGTCGTGGTGGTGGTGGCGGTGGATGGCGGCGGTCAATATCGTCGCGGTGGGCGCGGTTGCGGTCGCGGCCGTTGATCGCGGCGGCGGTAGTCAAGGTGCTGGCGGCGGTCGCGGCGGCCGCGGCGGCGGCTGCGGGGGCCTGCCGCCTGCCTAGCGCCCGAGTGCCCGAGTGCGTTCAGCAGCATCGCGGAATTTTATTTGTTTGAAGAATTTGCTGATCCGCCGAGGTAACCCAGCAGCCGCCTTCTCACCGAGGGGGCCGCTGCGTGGGCGACTTTCTTTTGTTCCGAAGGCGACCGGCCTTTTCGGCGGCCGCGGGGCGGGTGGCGCGCTGGCCGCCCGCCCTGTGGGCGCCCGACACGGCGGACACGCGCTCGCCAAAATGATCCCTTACGAGGGCGACGTGCACGTTCGCGAGGGCGACCAGCCATTGCGGCGGGAGACGCACGGGCGGCGCGCGGGCGACGAACGCGCGACGCACCCCTTGTCGCGAAGGGGGGGGTCAGCACGCTGGTCGTGTCAGTGGGCCTCGACGCCGAGGGGCCCCGCGGGGGCCAGACGATGTTTTGCTTTTTCCCTGCCCCTGCTCTTATTGCGCTCGCCCGTTTCGCCCGCAACCGTTTTTGATCAATCATCTCAGGGCCCGTGGCCTCAGAGCTGCGCTTCGTCCGCAGCGCGGAGAGAACAAACAAATCAGCGATGGTCTTCCAAGTCGCATTGGTGGCTTGGGGCTTGGCTCGGCTATCCCAGCGCCGCGTGCTGTTCATTTTCGCGCCGGCGCCGCGCGCCAGGCAGATTGCCGGCGCGTGGCCGTCCGCGGCATCCACGGGGTTGCGCTTTCCGGGTGCAGCTGCTGCCGTTGCTGCTCACTCTGGTCGTCGGCGACGCCGGAAAGCCCAGCGCCGTGCACTGCGCTCAGGACTGCATCGACGCCGCCGAGGTCGATTCTAGAACGCCCCGAATGTCAGCGAGGCACCGATGTTCATATCGCTCGCTCCCGGGACTTCAGCGACGCTGCCGAAGTTGAATTCGCGCGAGCTCAGAACTTCAGCGAAGCCGCCAAGTTCAATGTGCTACGCCCTCAGGACTTCAGCGAAGCCGCCGAGCTCAATTTCTCGCACTGTCAGAACTTCAGCGAAGCCGCCGTGTTCAATCTCCTGCGCTGCCAGGACTTCAGCGAAGCCGCCAAGTTCAATGGCCCGTGCTCTCAGAACATCAGCGCGGTCGCCGAGTTGAGTGCCATTGCTCGGCAGAATAAAAGCGAAGACGCAAGGTGCATTGCGTGCACCATTAGTCGCCGCAGCGATGGATCGCAATCAAGTCGGCCAGTCGGCCATCCCGATCTGGAATGGGCACCCAGCGAAGTGGGGGGGTTGCACGCGGGAAAGTGAGAATTCGAGAGCCTTGAAGTGTCCCAGAGCCTCGCGCCGATGCTCGTTTTGGAGCTGACAGGCGCGGCGCGGTCGGCCGAGCTCTGCGCGGCGGAAGACCGTCCGCGCCCGCTGCCGGAGGCGGCGCTCGAGGGCGCAGCCGATTAGAATCGCGGCCGCAACCGGCAGGGGGCCGAGAACGCGCTTCGCAATTGAGGGCGCGCCAGGGCCAGCAGCCCGCGCAGAAGGGGGGGCGCTCGAAGAGTGTTTTGGAGTCGACGCAGCATCGCCGCAGGCGCGGCGAGCGGGTGATGGACTGGCTCGTTCGCTTCGCGGCGGGCTTCCGGCAGCTGCGCGAGGACGAGGCGTCGGCCCCGCGGAGACCAGGGCACAAATAAAGCAGGACACAGAACACCAAGGAAACGGCACCCTTTCTTGCAAAGCCATCGTTTTCAGCACCCGTGCATTTTTTGTTTGCTGCACTGCGGGATTTGTGTCCCGGTGCGAGGGGTCTTGCAGACCTTTCGGGCCTGTGCCTGGGTTTATTATGGAAGTGCTGCAGTGCAGTATTTTGTTCGTGCCGCCGTTTGGAAAATTTGGTTTCGAGGGATATTGGGTGTCTGGGTCTAATGTGTCCGGGTTTGCGGGGCCCTGAAGGCGGGCCCCAAGTCCCTGAGCGACGTCGCTGACTGGCCCCTGCTGGCGCGGCTGGGCTCGGGGCAGAGCGCCGAGAGCGCGTCGTTGGCGACCGAGCGCCGCTCGTTGCAGCGCATCCGCGGCCTGCTGTGGCGCGCGCCCCCGGACGCCCGCGCGCCCGAGCGCGGCGCGACTGCGTCTTCGCGCTTGTGGTCGCGGCGAAGCAGCGGCAGCTGGCAGCGGCCTCCCAGCGGCGCTCGCTCCGCCAGCGTCTTCGACGGGCCCGCGGAGGGCAGCGGGCAAGAAGGAGAGGCCGACGATCGACGATGAGGACATCGCCCGCCAGGAGTTCGAGGCTTTCAGCTCCGAGCTGGGGTCTTCAAGTATCGACATCGGCGAAGTTTATGCGGCGACTCGGCGAAGGCGGAGGCGGCCGCGGCGGGGCTCGCCGCGGCCCCCGGGGCCGCGGCGGCCAGTCGGTCGGCCCAGGGGGCCGTCGAAGGCAGCGGGAAGTCCGCGCCGAAGCGGCGCGCCGCGTTCCCGCCGAGAACCTGCGGGACGTCGTGGGCCAGCGCGAGAAGATCAAGGGGGCCGCTGCCGTCGCCGAGCGAACATCACCGAGCAGGTCGTCGAGTTCGGCGACGAGGAGGTGATCCCGCTCCGCTCCCCGAAGGGCCTGTCACTTCACCGCCGGAGACGCTGGTCACCGAGCGCGCGGCCCCTGGCGCGCCCGCGATCAATGACGTCGACGCAGGCGAGAAGCCCGACGACGACGGGGCCGGCGCGATCGACGCCGCCCGCGTGCACCGCGTCGCAGGGCTCAAGTGGCACGCGAAGTGCCAGGCCAAGTGCGTCAAGATGGGGCTCGCCGATCAGATCCTGGAGGCGCCCGGAGACATGTCTACCACTTCGGGAACGGCGGCGCGCCCCCGAGCAAACTGCGCGTCGCCGCCCCGCTCGCGCTCTGCGGCCGCGCTGGGGGATCGTTTTCAGCGTCGTGGACAGCCCCGCGCTCAGCCTGTCGATCGGCCGCGACTTCGCCCAGCTCTCCAACGTCGACGTCTCGATCTGGATGGGGCCAATCTGCGTCGCGGGCCGCCCCCAGAAACTCGCGGGGGGCAGCGCGTGCCACCCCGCCGTCGACCTCCAGCCGGAGGAGTGGTTCGCCTCTTAGGAGACAGGCAACGCGTTCGGCCCGAAAGCTACCGAGCCCTGGGCCGCCATCAACAGGGCGGTCGCCCTTCCCGACGTCGGCGCCGCGACCCGGACCGAATCGGGCTGAGTCGCTGGTCGAGTTCATTGCGGAGCTCGCCCCCGAGAGCCTTCTGAGCGTGCCTAGTTGCATGCGGCCGCGCCTTGTCGCCAGGTGGCTACAAATGGCTTCCGCGGCATCTGCCCTGGCCCGCTGCCCTGCGGCAGCCGCGCCACCCGCGCCCGCGGCGACGCTGGCGCCGTCGATGACGGCCTCTGTCATCGAGCCGCTGGGCGGCTGCATCGCCTGCGGAATCGCGCCCCGCGAGGGGCGCCCCCGTCTCTGGTTTTGCACTGGCTGTGCGCCCGGCGCTACAGTCGCGCTCAACATCGGGGACAGCGAGCCGAAGGGGGCTAACATCGTGGAGGAGGAGCAGAGTCATTCCTAACGTTCCCCTCGCTGGTTCTAGCTGCCCTGCCCACCCCCTTCAACAAAAGGTTGGCAGGGGTAGAGACGGATGCGGGAGCGCCCGCGGCTCATTACTTACGCGAGGCAAAAAGTGCGCGCGCGGCCTCGCTCCCTCTCGGCCAGCCAGCGCATGAACATACACACGCTCTGCCTTAAGCAGGTTTGCTTACCGGATATAACAGCCATGTTGTCTCCGGTTCGCCAGGGCCCAACCGCCCCCTTGAGCGCGGCGAGCGCGACATGCGAGAATATCGAGAACAGACTAACCAAACGTAGTTTCTGCCTAGCCAGCCAGCCTTCGCGCGATCAAAATTGGGAGGCGCGCCGACGCGGGTCAGGCTTCCTAAGGCTGCATGGCCGTCGAGCTGGGGCGGTATGCGCGACCGGGTATGCCCGCTGAGGCTGGTCTTGCACGGCGACCTTGGTGCTGGCGGGCACTGGGGGCAGCGCTGCGAAACGCGTGTGCTCGCAGAAGGGATTCGCGTCGATTCCCTCGTGGCGCAGCTGAACTCTTCCTGATCATTTACGCCGACGGAGGATTGCAAGCTGGCTGGTCCGGCTTCCAACGCACAATAAAGGTGGAATCTCATCTTGAGCCCATCTGGCAACGCGCCCAATTAGGACTGGGATGGGCCCCCCCGCCGCCGTGGTTGGGTACTTGGGGCGTCAGCACCGCGCATCGGCTGGATGGATTGATTGGCAGGGTGGGGATCCGATCGCGTTGGGCCCCCCCGCCGAAAGCCATGGAGAGGAGGGCGCGGCAGCCGATGAATTTGGGTTGGGTGACCCCAGCTCAGTGGCAGCTGACGGCGGTCTTCCTGTGTGCGCCGATCACTCCTACCCAGTCCCGCGTGGCCAGAGAGCGCGGGCCCGATGCGACGCCGGCGCGCGCCGATGCAATGGTTCGCTACCCTCGGGGCCAGATAGCAGAACGGCGACTCGACGAGTTACCCTCGATTATGACACCTGGGAGGAGCTCCGAGACATGCAAGATCCACAGACCGTTGGCCGCGACCGACTGCATGCCGTGATTCCAGGGGGACCAGACGGCCTCCGGAACACGGCTGCACTATTGTTTTACAAGACCGATGTATCCGATTCGGGGGGCGGCCGCGAGGCGGTGCACCGCGCCGCCCCGTGCCGGCCCGACAGGGGCAACGGCCCGACGGGCTATTGCGCGCCAGCGAGCCCTTCCCAGGTGGTCGTTGACAGTGTCAGCGCGCCTGAAACCGTGGAGACGCCGAAACCTTTTGTACCAGGGCCAAGAAGAAAGGTGCGAGTCATTGAGTATGACGCGGAAGACTACTTCGCATCCTATGTCGCGCTGCGCGCATAATTTGCGTGCGCCGACCCTGCAACATATCCGCTGGCGGGCACGCCTTGCGGCCCAGAGCTGAGTGACCTCGAGGACGGACAGGGGGGGCCCACGGGGTGAAGGAATATTCCTCCGGCTGAAGAGGCAATTGCTGACTGCTGGCAGATCGAGGCCCACGCTTCGGGAGCGTGGGTCAGCGCAGTCATGTATCTCTCCCCAGAGCGTCTTTCCCCATCGATGGCGGCGGGCACTGGCGCGCTTCGGCGAGCCGTTGGGCCGAGGCCAAAGGCGTGGTTGAGGGCCAGCGCAGGGGCCGTTACGAGGGGGGCAGCTGAACGAAAGCGTCTGAGATGTGTTCGAGGAATTCTGGGTTGCAGTTTTGCTTGGCGCAGTCATTTTCGGTGTCATCCAGTGGGTTTTGGGGGCGATCACCAAGAGTGGCCTCAAGCCATTACTGGCGTGCCAATTTTTTGGAGAGTGAACTCGAGTGCACCAAAGTTCTGCGTCGCCAGGCAGCTTCGTTTGGCGGGGCGCCAGACGACTCTTCGGCTCGTCTGGGGGCGCGCCCTTATGGGTTGTCGCGCCCGTGTTCCCGTGCTTGGCGTTTGTCCCTGCGGGGTCTTGTCGTCGGCCGCCCGAGATTGATCTTTCCACCCGGGAATTCATTGCCGTGCTCATGCGAGCCCCCAAACTCTGGCCCCGTCGACGTCGCGCCCGAAGTTGGAGGGCTGGTGAAGGAAGACGATGGGTCAGTGAACCCGCGATCGCCGGCCCCGCCCGGCGTTCTCCAGCCCGTCGCTGCAAAGGTCTTGATGGGGGTGTTGTGCGGCGCGTGCATGGCCCGGCACGACTAACCTAGGGCCGCGTGGCCCCTCGCGTCCTGCGACGCGAGGTGGACAGAACGACGCGATATTGAACTCTTCAGCCTCCTCTGTTACATGTAGGCAACGGCGCGCTATCGGACGGCATCCCGGGTGGGGGGCAGTCTTGCGGACGCTTGGCTGAAACAGCGCGCGAGCGCTGACCTTGCCATCGACGTTGGAACCCGTCGTTGCACGAGCGCCAACGTCGAGAAATTGAAGGGGCCCAGCGCGAGAGCCCCGCAGAGCTGCAACTCGCGATGCCAGACCGCGACGCCCAACAGCACGCTGGAAGCAGAGATTGTTCCAGCGGGCGAGGCTGTCAGGAGGGAGATCCTGCTTGCTGCGTCGCTATGGGGATCGCTCCTTGGGCGGCCGCCGAAGGCCGAGTTCTGGGGGCAACCGAGCAGTCGCGAGAGTCTGCAAGGCCGGGGGCCCCCAGAAGCTCGCGCCATGCCGGCTCTGAGCTCGCCGCGTCGACGCGTCTGCCGTCGCGGAGCAGCGCGCGGGGGCGGCCGTGGAATTGGCCCATTGCCCCGAGCAAGACCACGCGGCAGATGTCGGAACCAAGAGGTTTGAGTAGCCTCCGTCTTGGGCTAAGGTTATATTTCATCCAAGTTGTAGCCCCGTCGTTCCGGGAGCGATCCACGTGGATTGTGTTTTAACCGGCAACGCGGCCTTGCTCTTCAAACCGCGGGGCGCCCTCGAGCCGAAGCTGGGCGCGCGATCGGCGATCGTGTCAGGTGCCAGAGTGGCGGGCGAGAAGGGGGCGCAGAAGCCTGGGCATCGAGCGAGGGGGGGCCTTCTGCGGGCGCGCCGCCGCGCGTGCGAGGACAAGAAAACAAACCTCTGCTGGCATGCTCGCTCTTGCTCGACGTGACAGCGCCGCGGAGTGCCGGCGGCAGCTCGGGCGACGGTGTCGCGAGAGCTGCCGCGGATAGGGGCGCTTCGCCACGTGCGCCGACTGCCGGCCGACCGGGCCCCAGAAGTTTGATGCGGGATTTTTGCTGCGGTGCGAACAGAGGACTTGGGCGCCCAGCAAACTTCGCGGGCAACAGTTGCGAGGTGGTCAGGCTGATTGAGGAAAGCGACATGGTCACCGACGTCGGGTCAGCATGCGCAGTGGCAAATCTTTAGAGTTTTTGGGGCGACCATGTCGCCCTGTGGGGTCCATGCCCTGCGCGGGCGGCTCGCCCCGGCATCGCGTCAACGAGGCGATGTACCGCCGCTCTGGTGATACCAGAGCTCTTGAAATATTGCGGAGTCATAGAACGATATTCAGGAATTTGTTTTGGGCGTGTTAGACTCGCAGAGGAAAGCATGACAGTTTTTGCGTGTCTCGAATGACAGACTTCGTGCCAACTCTCGCGCGAGCCTCGAGTTAAAGCGTTCTTCAGTAAGCATAACATGACAAAGGCTAGTCTGGTTAATATTCGAGGACAGCACATGAAGAAGCCATGGAGCATTGCGACTCACTCGGAAGCCTTTGCCAGGAGAGTTGAGAAGAAGGCGCGATGGATTCTCGCAGGCATGTTCAGGCCAGGGGGCGCGTTTGCAAGCTTGCTGAGGACGACGCGGATGTATTTCCCAAGCGCGTGCATCAGTTGATTGTTAAGGCCATATTGTATTTTGCTGCTTCCGCTGCTGTTGTCGTTCCGTCCATGCGCGCTTTGCCTTCCGCTGTTTTTTTCGGCGCGCAACGTCTCGGGCGCCCGCTCTTGCGGCGCCCCAATGCCACCGGGCCGCCGCCGCTGCAGCGCCGCCGCCGCCCGCGCGACTGCCTTGCGGTCACCGCGACAGCCAACTCCCAGAGCGGGCGAGGCCTGCGCGCTGGGCCCGGCGCCTAGATCCATCGCGCGCGAGCCCAGTGGGCTCGCTGGGGACGAGGAGAAGAGCGCGTTGCGGGACAGTGCCCCCTGCGCGCCCCTGGGAGAGGCCGCGGCGGCAGAGCCGCTGGCTTCCTGTTCGCGCATCATGCCCCGTTCGGTGGCATGTGGCCACGTCTTGGCGTCTGGGAGGCAATGTTTGCCAGCGGATACGACGCGCCGACAGCGTTCGGCAATCTACTGGCTGCGCGCGCCATCCAAGAAACCCCGCTCTCGTGGGAAGACGAGTTCAACGGGGTGATCCATCAGGTTCGCGAACTCGTCGTCATTGCCGCGCGTGTTCTTGGATATCCTCAGTCTGAGAGGCTCTGTCGCGCTGTCTGCCGCATCCGCTACGACCGCGGGTGCGAAGATCACTTCGCCCCAGTCCACTCCGACTTCCAACAGGAAGAGGTGTTTTTCTCTGGTGCAAGACTGGCGGTGGCAACGAGAATGTCGTGAGTGACGGGAAGAACCCGGACTTCGTTGAGGCCGGGGCGGGCTATGGCCGTCGCTCACCGCGGCGACATGGCATCGAGTCTCGTGCGTGCACAAGATACTGGGTGCAGCGCCCGGTTGTCGGCTCGAAGAAGTGGAGAAGGCGTGCAAGACGATTTGCCAACGCAAGCTGCGTGGAAACAAAGGGTCAGAGGCTAAGGACATCGACCCCGATGGGGCAAGGGGCGCTGCTCCGGTTCATCCCCCAGCCATCCTACAAGTTCCCAGGTGAAGCCAGCGTGCTTCCACTTGCTCTCTGGCGCTCGTTCTTGAGTCGCATGGCAAACGGAGGGGCCCAGTGGATCTCAGGGTTGTGATGCGTTGGCGACATCGGATATACATGCCTAGTGCTGCCAGGCCGCGCAACGCTGAACAAACCGCTGCAGTGGTCACTGACCTCAGCGATCGCCATTTGCCCTTGGGCCGACGAGAAGGCCCGTTGCGCCCCCCGCATTCCCCGTCCGGGCCTCGCGGCTTAGCATCGCGGTTGTCTCGTCGAAAAATGGGCTTGGGTTCAGGTCGAGCTCCGCGTGGGATCAGCTAGCAGAAATATATTGAGGATGCCTTCTCGTTTCTCGTGGTTGCTATAGGGAGATCATGCGATAGCTGAGCAGTTTTCCCCGGGCGCGCCATCGTGCGTTGCTGGGGTCAAGTCCGCGTGCCCCCCCTTGCCTCGTTCTTTCCCGAGCTGGAACGTTGCGCGGCATAGTCTTGTTGAGCTGGCCTTGTCAGGGCCAGGAGACCTCGGCATAGACGCAAGCAGTCCCACTGAACACCAGGAGGATTATTTCTATCAGCGAGAGGCTGTACGTCAGCCTTTGCGATATCGCACCAGACTTCGGTCGCGCGTTCGAGGAACCTGCGCGGCGCCCGCGACGAGACATGGCCCCGATGAGCGCGACTTCTCGTCTGCACTGCAAGGGAGGCAGTTGGCCGCGCAACCCCGAGGTCGGCCGCGGGTCCAGGGGAGCAGCCCGCACTGCAGGGTGGACATCTGCGTATTTCCCGCAGGGCCCAGAGTGGTGCGTCTCGCTGGGATTGCCTGTGCAGGTTGAGGTCGATTTCCCTTGCGTGCTGCGTGCCTCCCCAAAAAACCTTCACTTGCGGTCGTCCTTCCAGTGGCTGCCAGCCGTGGCCCCTGACGTGGGTCAGCCGCGTGGCCATCGGCGTCGGTCCACCGGCCGGGGCTCGAGGACCTCCCTCGCCGCCGCCTGGCAGACCGCCGCAACAGAGAAGGGCACCGCTGACCAAAAACAATTAGGACGAGAGCGCGTGCGGTGGCAGCGCCACAGCGACGGAAGTCGGAGGGCCCCGCCCCCGTCGCCGCTTAGGACCCCGTCGCGAAAAAGGCTACGCCAGCGAAGGAGGTCGTTGGGAAGGTGATCCCCAAGGACAGTATGTTTGCGGATTGGGGACAAAGGGCAGACGGGGGTACGGCCCCCCTGTCCCGAAGGGACCGTGGCTTTCTACGGCGCCGCCGTCCCAGCCATCGTCATCATCGAAGGGCCCGCCTTTTCCGTTGGCGCCGCCTCCCCCGGCGGCGCCGCCTCCGTCGTCGAGACCGCCTACTGTCCGCGCGCCCGCGCCCTCTCGCGCGCCTGCGCCGCCGCCGATCGCTCCGCCGGGCGGGGCGGAAAGGCCGCCGCCCGGGTCGGCTCCTCCTCCCCCAGAGGGCCAGCCGACCCCCATTGAACCTCCGCCATCGAGCCTTGGGGGGCGCGGCCAGTGGCCGGTACTTCTGGCTCCCTGATTTCACTGAAGTAACGCGCGAAGCACCTCGCGCGGCGGCTCCTTGGCCGGGTGCTGGGGGCCTTCCCGCGGGAGTTCCTTCCTCGGGAGCAAACGGGTGGACCAGGCGCGATGACTCACCCAACGCACTGACGCAGCCTAGCGCTTCCGCCTGGCGGGCTGATGAAAGAGATGCCGATGCGCAAGCTGAAGCTGACGATCAGCGGCGCTCTACACCCAGCTCTTCGAGCGGTGGCGCCGGCTGTGCCAGTGGCCCGAAAGCTGAGCCCAAAGCCCCGAGCTTTGCAGACAGGAGGGGGCGCTATCGATCCAAGAGCGGCGCAAACGGCGCCTGGGAATGTGCCAAGCTCCAATCATTGAGGAAGGCCGAACAGGGATTGACGCAGTTCCACGCGGTCAGTGACCGTCGGCCTTCCCCGTGTGCGAGGATTTGGCGACAGAACTCGCCGTCCGTCTTGCTCAAATCACGAACGCCTCGATGGAAAAGCGCGTCAGCCATATGATATGAATTCCAGCCAATGTTGCGCGGGTTTCTCGGCAATGCTGGAAGCTGCAGGGGTGCACTCGAGATTTCTGGGCCAAAACATTGCGGCCTACGCGCAGCAGAATCGCCCCATCAGCGAGTGATACAGTCTAAGGGGCCACTGATTGGGGAATGGACAGGGAAGGCCGGCAGGGGAAAGGCCTACATGAATGTCAACATCAGAATTCTTTCAGATTCGACGGCTCAGTTCTACAGCCAACCGCCTTTTCAATGAACTCGAGAATAGCACCGGCGGATGCCAGTGTATGATCAAATGTGGACCATCCTGGACAAGGTTTGTGGTTTTGACAAGGTGCCCAAACAGCTGAAATTCGATAACCGCAAGCGCTTCTACTCACAAGAAGAAGAACAACAAGTTCGCATGATATCAATGATGATGAGAAGTATTATGAGGTGGATGAGGGTTAGGACGAAGATGAGGATGTGGATTATGATGATGATGCTGATGTGGCGATGGGTATGATACAGAGGATGGGGATGCTGCTGATCATGATGCTGATGGCGATGCTGCTGCTGATGATGATGGTGGCGATGATGATGCTGATGATTCTAAGTACGATGGTGATGTTGATGATGTTGTTGACGACGACGACGATGCTGATGTTGATGCTGATGATGATGATGATGATGATGATGATGATCATGATCATGATCATGATGATGATGATGCAGATGATGACGATGATGATGATGATGATGATGATGATGATCATTGTAATGATGGTAGTGGTGGCGACGATGGTGGTGATGATGATGCTGATGTTGATGGTGATGGTGATGACGATGAGGATGATGATGAGGATGATGATGAAAATGATGATGCGGATGTGGATGTTGATGAGGATGAGGATGATTAGGATGATGATGCGGAGGGTGATGATGCTGCTGCTGATGATAGATGCTGATGATGCTGATGATGATACTAGTTATGACGATGCTGATGATGATTATGATGATACTGATGACGATGATGATGATGGCGATGATAACGGTGATGGTGATGATTCGATGGCCATGGCGATGATGATGATGACAATGATGATGATGATGATGATGATGATGATGGTGATGATGATGATGATGCTGATGATGATGCTGATGATGATGATTATGATGATGATGGCGATGCTGATTCTGATGATGTTGACGATGATGATGATGATGCTGATGATGATGATGATGATGACGATGATGATGATGATGATGATGATGCTGATGATGATGATGATGATGATGATGATGATGCTGCTGATGATGATGATGATGATGATGATGATGATGATGGTGATGGTGATGATGATGATGCTGATGGTGATGGTGATGATGATGATGGTGATGATCGTGGTGGTGGTTGTGTTGGTGTGCATGCTCATGCTTATTGATGGTTATGCTTGTCTTGGCCTTGCTCCCCCTGGTGGCTGGCAGGAGTTTGCTCCTCATCTTTCCTCCCCTCTCCTGCCCGACCGTGCCTGGAACCCAGCCGCAGGCGTGCTTCAACCTGCGCGCTCGTGCGCGAGCTCCTGCTCCTTTCCCCCCGTCGGTCCCTTCGTGCCATCCATGTTTCCCCTGTGTCCTTCGCGACGAACGCATCGCCGATTCCAGCTCGATGCTTCCCCCCCTGAGCCCCCCCCCCTCCTTAGCCTTCCCTCTCAGCAGACGGTGGGCCCTCGGGCTGCTGGTCCGTGGCCCGCTTGGGGCCGTTGCGTGCGCGAGTGGCGAGAGTGTGCCGCTGCCCCGTGTCTTTGTACAGATCCTTGCGCATCCTCCTCCATCCTTTTCCTTAATGTCTCTGCCGTGTCTGCTCCTCTTCCCCCTCCTTCCCAACCCTACCTCCCCAATCCTCCCGATCCTGGTCCTCCTCCTCCCCCTTTGCTTGCTGCTGCTCTTGCTCTGGCTCTCTCTCTCCTTCCTTCTCTTCCGTCCTCGTTCCTCCCTCCTCTGTCTCTTCCTCCTCCTTCTCCCACTTACACGTCCTCTTCCGCTTCGCCCCCTTCCCTCCTGTGTATCCTCTCACCCTCGTTCTCTCTTCTCGTTCCGTCCCTCGCTCCTCCCTCTTCCCTCCTCCCTCACCCTCTCCTTCTCCCTCTTCCTTCCAACAAAGGCTTGGTTGTCCCGATGGTATACATCTGAGAGACATGTCATCCCTCTGCCTTTCTCATCCTCCGTCTTGCAGTGCACCCCCCTCCTGTATCCGCTCTCGTCCTCCATCTCTCTCTCCTTTCCCCTCGTGTTGCGCCTGCCTCCTTTCTCTCCCCTTCCCCTTTTTCTTCCCTTTCCCGAGGAGGGATGCTGGATGGTGGAGGGGGGGAACACAGAAGCCGAGAAACGGCAGGGAGGGAGGGAGGGAGAGGAAAGGGGAGAGGGAAAGAAGGTGAGAAGGCAGGAGGAGCTGGCGGGACAGATGTGCGGGGACATGGAGGCAGACGAGCCTTGCACAGGGCGCGCCTCGGCGATGGCAGTCGAGCTCCTTGTGCTGGCGCCAGCAGCGCACGTTGCCTCCGCGCTGGTCAGCCCGGGTGCAGCGGTGGAGGTCCGAACGCCGCAGGGCAGGGCTGGAGAGGTATGCTGGAAGGGGGAAGGGAGGGAGGAGGGGGAAGGAGGAGGAGGACGAGGAGGAGGAGGAAGAGGAGGAGGAGGAGGAAGACGATGATGACGATGATGACGAGGATGAGGATGAAGATGAGGACGAGGATGAGGGTGGAGTGAGGATGAGGATGAGGATTAGGATGATTATGCTGCTGATGATGATGCTGCTGATACCGAGAATGACGATGATGGAGGTGGTGATGTCGATGATGATGCTGCTGCTGATACTGATGCTGCTGATGATGATGCTGATGGTTGTGGTGGTGGTGATGTTGGTGATTATCATGATGATGCTGATGATGATACTGAATGTGATGATACTGAATGTGATGATGATGATGATGATGATGATGATGATGGTGCTGGTGATACTGATGATGATGGTGACACCGATGATGCGAGGACGATGGTGACAACGACGACCATGATGACGGTGACGACGATGATGGCGACGGTGATAATGATGATGATGAGGATTAGGATGATGCTAATGATGATGATGATGATGATGATGATGATGATGATGATGATGATGATGATGATGATGATGATGATGATGATGATGATGATGATGATGATGATGCGGATGCTCATGTTGATGTTGCTGCTGCTGATGATGACGACGATGATGACGACGGCTGTGATGCTGATGATGCTGATGATACTGATGATGACCATGACGATGATGACGGTGCTGACGACGATCATGATGCTGATGGTGCGCCCTACGCCTGTGCGAGGAGGCGCAGATGGGCGCTGCGCCGGTGCGCGTGCTCGTCGCCACGTTGCGGCATGTGACCCTGCCGCGCTCGATGGCGGAGGACGGTGCTCCCTCCTCAATCTCCTCCTGAATCTCCTCCCCTCCTTGTTCTCCTCTGCCTCCTCTTCCTCTTCCTCAACCCCTTCCTCAATCTCTGCCGCCACCCAGAGTGCGCACGCGCATGCTGTTGTCGTCACTAGAACTGCTGCCGAGGTCTCCGCTCCGCTCCGCTCCTCCCCCCGAGTCCAGAGCTTCCTCCCTCGTCCTAATCAATCTTCGCCTCCTCCTCCTTCTCCAGAGCCTCGTCCTCCGTCCTCGACTGGGCTCTACTCCTGTAGGCATGAGTGTGTTCGCTGCGTGTCGTATAACACGAAGGGAAGGGGATGCATGGAAAGGGCAAGGGTAGGAGAAAAGCCACACCCAGCCCAGCTGGCACATGATCTCTTATTTCAAGCATACAGTCATCCCCATGTTCCCTTTTCTGAGATGGATTCAGTGGCACGGAAAGAACGCGACTCTTCTCTCCTTCCTCGGCGGAGGATGACGAGGATGAGGAGGATGAGGAGGAGCAGTGCAGCCAGGGCAGCTCCCCGACCCGGCGGAAGTGGTATCAGACGCCACCCGCGGCTGCGGCTGAGCTTACTGGCTCCCCGCGTTGGAGGAAGTGGTATGAGGCTCCACCCGCGGATGGGGCCATTCAGATTCGTGTGGCGGTTTCCCCTGGGGGCCGTCTGCGTGGAAAATGGAAAGTG